TGTGTGTATGAGGGTGCTGTTAGTGTGCTGTGTGCAGTGGTGTACATACCGCGGTCACAGGGGTCGCAGCTGCAACCGGGCCTGTCTCCACAGGGGTCCCGGCTGCCTTGGCCCACGCGGCAAATCGCCGGGGTGCTGTCCAAGGGGTCCATTGGGTGGGTGGATGGAGCTGTTTGCAGTGTCGTATGTGAGTGCAGAGGGCTGGTTGTATTACAGAGTGTGTGTGGATAGGGGCAGGGGACAGTTAAACAATCTGCCCAGCCAGCCTGCACAACCTTCCGCGGGCCCCTGCTGCTAAAAATATAATTCTCTGTGCAGGGCACACTGAGAGACCGCTAAGGGGCCTTCCAAAGACCCCACTAGGCTGCCCCTCAGTGTGCCTGTCTCAGTGTGAATTTGGCAGAGGCTCCAGGAGCAGAGCCTCTGCCAGAAGTGGAGCACAGCCACACTGAGCTTGTAAGCTGTCAGTAACACTGCTCAGGGCAGCTCCGTGGCTGGTTCTGCGGGAAGTTAAATCATGCAATGTGGAGCTGCCCTGATCAGTGTTACAGGCAGCATGAGGCACATGAAGCATCCCACCAGAATAAGGATTCCTCCCTCCCTGGCCGAAGGTAAGATTCAGAGAGGGGGGAATATATATCATTTTGAAATTTTCTTTTCTTAATTAATAATGTTTTTAGCATTTATCCCCCCCCCCACTACTGCCCCTTAACAGCTCCTATACTTCTCCCCCTCATCAACCACAGCCCCACTACCCCTCTACACCCCATACACCCCTGATCCATCTACAACTCTTATTACCCTCAGGTAACCACCACAGCCCCACTACAACTCCTATTACCCCCAAGTAACCACTACAGACCCACTACAACTCCTATTACCCCCAGGCACCCACAACTACTGCTTATCACCCATTTCAGCCCCCTATACCCTCTTGCACCCACTACAACACCTACACCCTGCACCACAGCCACAGCCTGCACCCACCACAGCCCCTGCCCACCACAGCCCCTGCACCCACTACATCCCATACCCCCAGACACCCTCTAGATCCCCATACCCCCTGTACCCAATACAATCCCCTTCCACCCTGCACATACTCCTTGCCCTCTCTACAGCCCCTAATATCCCATGCCCCCACTACAGCCCCCTATACCCATTACAGCCTCTACACCCATTACAGCCTCTACCCCTAGGCACCCTCTAGGTCCCTATACCCCCTGCACCACCTACAGCCATTACCCCACTTGCCTCTTCTACAGCCCCTATTATTCCATACCCCCACTACAGCCCCCTGCACCCACTACATATCCTACCCTCAGACACCCTATAGATGCTCTATACCCCCTGCACCTGTTACCGGAGGAATAACAGGAACAAACTGCAGAAGCCACACAGAGATATGGACACAAGTCTTCAGGAAGTAACAGGTCTTTTATTTACACACCGATCGGGTCTCACACTGAACTTGTGTTCAAAAGGTATGAGCCCAGAGCATAGTTTGAACAGGCTATTTATTAACAATAACTTCTCCCATTCATAGCTCCACTCACACATACCCTTAGACCAATCAGTGAACAGGATATTCAGGATCACCTAATATGGGCAGACCGTATGACTCATTTTAAGGACAAAGGAATGTGACTACAGTTGAAGCACATGCTTTGTACATTGATGACAGTATCTTAGCTACATGTAACTAACTAACAGATACAACAAACACCTGTACTTGTATATGCCACATGGAGATTTCAGGCCTACTAAATTTTTAATCATGTTAAAATCCCATCACATTCCCCACTTTGATGCTTCTGATACAAAGTTATTCCAGATGCATCACTAATCATAATTTACCAACACCACTCAAGTAGCCATGGACCAGAGCAGACCTTGTAAGCATCTTAGCATCATCACAAACTCCTTCAGCATTCCTCATCCTGAATATGTTCTCTCTCTGCGCTAGAGATTCATACTTCCAGACAGCCATTACATGAGCAGCTGTCTTTCTTTCTATAGTACTCTCTATGATACTACGTATAGATCTGACCACTAATGGAATTAGGCAGGGCAGAAAGAGACATAAGAATATAATGAATATTACTCCTCCTACTAATGCCTTAATCCCTCCAAGCTGCTCATACCAACTTACAAACCAACTACTTGGGTTATACCCATTCCAAACCTGAGTAGGTACATGCGCAAGTTTAACCGTGTGGCTTGTAAGTTCAGCCACTGCCCGCCCTTCATCATCTATGTGCAAACAACAGTTGCTAAGATTAAACTTTCCGCATACACCTCCATCTACTGCTAATAAGTAGTCCAGAGCTAATCTATTTTGATAGATGGCTGATCTCATCCGAGTATTTTGCTTAGCTAGAAGATTAAGTGCTTGCGCTGTTTCATTGGTGATAATCTCAACCACCGCCTGTAGTCTTATAATACGGTTGAGCATATATATTGGGGTTCCATATCCATTAGTACCATCTTCTGCCCAAGTAGCAGGTCCATAGTAATTTATGATACGTTGGGGAGGCCACTCATCTTCCCAACTACCTATATTCAAGGATGCTCGCTTCTTTTTATGATTTACATCATAAACCTTAATTCCCAAGGTCTCTCCTGTCTCAATTGGCAACAAGAAGAAGGATGGTTTGAGCGTACCTAGTACACATGCTCCCTCCCAATCTTGTGATAACTCTGAATATGCTTTCTTACCACAGATCCAGTACAAATTCGCTGGGGTTTTCCAATTGGATGTAGCAGATAAGTCAAACCATACCTCTTTTAAATTGGTGTAATTGACAAAAGGATTAGTAGGCTCTGAGACATTTGAAGCTGACCACCAAGTAGTATCTTTTGTATCAGCATTATAGGCCTTCTGTCCTAAGCAGGTTAACTCTCCAACAGATGTATTATACAGTGGCCCTCTTCTAGCTAAACATACATGGCCTATGATAGATGTTTTTAAACGCCATTCTGATAAACCTCTAGTACTTACTTGATGATCAGACTGAGAAAGCATCTGTTCATCTGTCTCAGAACCAAGGTACCAAACCTCTTATCTCCCATGACCATTGGTCTCCCATATTAGTACCTCCACATAAAAAGCAGTTAGTTATATTAAGACTACCTGCAATACTCTCTTCTTCAAAAATCACCTCATACTTCTCAAGTCACGCTCAATTCGACTGGGTCATGCACTTCAACCGGATCTTGCAAGGATTCTCACGATCTGGAGTAGCTTGCCAGGAATCTGCGGCTGGTTTAACCCTAGAGTGATGAATATACGAAGTCACTTCTGCCGCCTTTACAGCTGTTGGGGTAGATAAAAGAACATACGAAGGCCAACAGGATACACCCCAAGCTTTAACTCAATATGTATCGGTGGAATATTACGAGCAAGTCCTGGAGGATTATTCTCTGCCCATTCTCCTGGAATGTCAAATAAAGATCCATCACTCTTAGGGTTTGTATTTGTCATTACAGAGTAGAAGTTCCATTCTTCTTTTGGTACCAATACTGCTATCATACCTGGTGATTTATTAAACTTCAGAGACGTTGATCCATTAGGTAGAAAAGTTATCTGAGCTTGAAGCTTTGATAATAGATCTCGTCCTAGAAGTTGAATTGGACACTCTGGCATATATAGGAACTGGTGCTTCACAAAATGGCCTCCTAAAATGCAAGTGCGACTCCTGAGAACCGTTCTAGCAGCGCTTCTCCCAGTAGCTCCTATTACAGTTACAGTCTTTCCAGAAGGAGGAGCTACCAACTTAGTCACCACAAAATGTTCAGCACCTGTATCAATCATGAAAGGACTTCTCTTTCCCCCTATTGTTACATCGACCATAGGCTCCGCTTGGCCAAGGGGGATGGAACCCGGTCGGTATCAATAGTCTTCCATGACAGTGTCAGCCAGACCTACAAAAATCTCTATCTTCCCTATCCCTAGGTCTCTGGGTAGGGGGATAATATCTACCTCCCTGAACACTCCCTCTGCTATTCCCATTATTCCCTCCAAAACTTCCTCTACCTCGTCCTCTATAGCTACTACCATAACCACCTCGCCCTCTTCTCTCTTCTTGTCTACCACCTGCAATATATCCCCTCTGTGGACAGTCACTCTTCCAATGCCCTTCCTCTCTACAATATGCACTTTGATTCCTACTTAAAGGTCCCTTACTCAGCCTATTCTCGACTCCTTTATTCACTTCCCTTCCCTGTCTTTCTACACTTGTGATAGCTACCGCTAGCATATCTGCCTTCTTCCTCATTTTACGTTCCTCCTCACGCTTTGTCTCAGTTTCCCTATTCATATACACCTTATTTGCAACCTCCATTAGCTGTGATATGGATATCCCTGCAAATCCCTCTAATTTTTGTAGCTTTCTCTTAATATCGCTCTGGGCCTGGCTGACAAATGCTGAGTTAATCATTTGGAAGTTTTCAGGGGCTTCAGGATTGAAAGGAGTGTACAATCTATTTGACTCAAGCAGTCTCTCATAAAAAGCACTGGGTGATTCATTAGCTTTTTGTAACACTTCAGCCGTCCTGGACATGTTAATTGCCTTTTTCCCTCCTGCCTTCATGCCAGCAATAATGGCTTGTTGATAGGCCTTTAGATGGATCATGTCAGCGCCATTTACGTTCCAAAGGTCAGTAATAATTGCTGACAATCAGCCCAGGTGGGATTGTGTGTTTGTATAATAGAGGTAACCAAATCTGTCATGACTTGAGGTTTGTCGGTATACGAAGAGTTATGAGTCTTCCAATTGAATAGATCAGTTGTGGTGAAGGGGACATAGACAAACACTGGATCTGCCCGTTGTATTTGGCCATTTTCATCAACGTGTGTTGGGCCCGGTGTAAGTCGGAGAGGCATCTGGCAATGTCGGGATGGAAGGGTGTCAGTCAATTGTCGGCTTAGTATGGGGCTTCGGCAAACCTGCTCAGTAATAGGTTCCGGTCTGAGAGTAGTAAGATAGGTGGAAGGGGGTGAGCTAATTTTACTAGTTAGCAGTTGGCGGATGAAAATATTTAAAAACAAATTTTCATCCGCCAACTGCTAACTAGTAAAATTAGTAGGTGTCACCAGAGGGTAAGTAATTGTATCAAAATAATCTTTATGGTTCTAATAATAAAACTTAACTTTTAATATATTTAAACGTAAAATAAAACCTTATAGCAATAAATATATTAAAATAGGGTAAGCAATCCTACTTCTGTCTGTTATATGCCAGTATAGAGTTAAAGATGATTAAGCAATGTAATATCAATGTAACTCCCGAAGATGGCCAGTAGGTGGCCCTAGAGTGCTTCCTAGAGTCTAATGAAGCAGATAGACTTTAATTATGTGCTTATTTTATTATTATTTATTTTAATCACTGTTCACCCTGATATCTAGGCTTGAGTAAAGCTTTTGTTCTATGGTAAAATAAACATCTTAGTTTGTATTTTAGTAAAGGGGATATTTTGAACAAAGCTGGGAGGGGCCCATCCAGTAACTAAAAAAGGATAAAAGTATACTCTAGCACCTTATACCATTGATAATTTCTTCCAGTTGTATTTTAGACTGTCACTGAATGCACACAGTGTTCAGTAGTTTTAGTGCTATTTCAGTGATTATGGTACAATGTTATTGCTGAGAATTATCTGATCCAATAGACTCAGTTACTGTTATTAAGAATTCTCCTCACAATTTAACTGTTAATAAAATTCAATGCTAAAATACACTCCTACCAAAAAGGAAGTCAGTTCAAATTACAAAGAACCAGTGGGGGGTTGGTAAAGAAATACAAGAGTTTGAAACAAAAGAACAGATAGGTATGTGGGTAGGCGGGGGCAATAGAGCAGGGGGAGTGCTAATACCAGCTATACCAGTTTTAGCTTGGGAGGAAGAGTGGGGGAATGGCTACTCTGGCTCTGGAGGATGATCAATCAGATGCAAGGGGTGAGGTGTCCAAACTAGGTGGAATTAAGGCCTTAGTGGACAAACAGGTTCTGGCTACCATGGACTCCATTGTTCCTCTTAGCACAGCTTGTTCCATTTAGCAGTGTTTCAACAATCTGTATACAGAAACTACTCGTATAGCCCCAGCATATTATTTATAACAATGTAAACCTGCTGTATTAAATCTGGATCAAGGATCCACAGGAACACTGGTTACCAGAACAGGCTGTCCTCTGCTACACAGAGTATTTTAATCTTTTGGGGGGACAGTGTTACACCATAATCACAAACAGCATATTCCTTAGAAAAGTTTTTTGTTTTTTTTAAACAAACAAGACAAAGGACCGTTTGTGAATCAGAAGCACCCACGATTTCAACAGAGCGTCTGATTCATAGCAGTACAAATATACAAACAGTTTCAACAGTCACACCAGTTACCTTAGCAACAGCGGCACGGTTACTAGGCCCAAACATACACGTACACACACGCAGAGGATCCTCACACGCTCAACAATATCACGACGTCGCACACACGAAATTAAATCAAAAACCCACCAAAGACTATACACTTATCAATGTAACTATTATTCAAACCATACAATTATCCACACTATTAATCCACATAAACTAACCGATCACATAACATTTCAACAATTTCATCTCTACAGTCAGTGGTTATGGTACGGTTAGTAACTATTGTACAGTTTAGACAATTTGGTTTTAAAGTTACAATATCAGTTAGTACACATGCAAGGTTAAACAGTAATTTTAGTATTTTTCATGTAATATCAGTAGTTATGGTACAAGTCAATGGTTATGGTACATGTCAGTGGTTATGGTACATTATTATTATGATATTTATAGTCAAATTCCACAGCGCTTTATAATGGGTGGACGAACAGACATTTAGTTGTAACCAGACAAGTTGGACACACAGGAACAGAGGGGTTGAGGGCTTACATGCTAGAGGGAGTGGGGTAAAATGACACAAAAAGGTACATGTCAGTGGTTATGGTACCGTGCGCTATTTTACACTATACACACACACAATTTACACTCCGACTAGATGGCAGAGCTCAACCTTTCTAGCAGGACATACAATTTTACCAATTCACCAGTTCACCAACTACAGTATATCTAACAATATTTACAATAATCCCAACTATTCTAATTGGCCAGCACCTTGAGAACTATCAAACTATTTACACCAGGATTCGGTTAGTCTATGCTTCCCAAGCACCACATATAGCGAACTAATGAGCGGAATTTACAACAGGACTCATTTAGTCTATTTACTCTATCAATAGTCTAGTGGTTGAATTTACACGCCTCCCACTTAGCTAAGATAGGTTGAGAGCTAGCAGACGGAATGTACACCAGAATCTGCTTAGTTTCGTCGGCCTCCCCGACCTAGCGACCAAAATTTACACCTAGACACGCTAGTCAAGACAGGACACTGGTGTCCGACATGAACTATTTACACCAAGATTCAGTCTGACCCAAACCACCTGTATTAGACAGGCTGACTACAGAGCGTCTAATGTCAACATAAGCAGTGAGCCTTCGCTTCTTCCTTCCAGAGGGAAGGGGCAGATTCCATACAACCAATTCCAAATACGAACCCCTTGTGGGCCTACCGCTCTAACGGTATTAATCTTACCTCTTCGTTCCTGGACCTGGGCTTCACACTCATCGATGGGGCACCCCGGTACTCACTGAGCAGAAGCTGATGATCTCCTGGACAAAAGGTGCCGAGACGAAAGGAGGTCCACGCAGAAGTTCAGGGGTGCTGCCGTGGAGAACGCTGGTAAAAGTTTACCGTCTCAAATCTCTGCGCCAGCTTCCGTGTGATGAGGTTCCCGGACCCAGTGCACCAAAAATGTTACCGGAGGAATAACAGGAACAAACCGCAGAAGCCACACATAGAGATATGGACACAAGTCTTCAGGAAGTAACAGGTCTTTTATTTACACACCGATCGGGTCTCACACTGAACTTGTGTTCAAAAGATATGAGCCCAGAGCATAGTTTGAACAGGCTATTTATTAACAATAACTCCTCTCATTCATAGCTCCACTCACACATACCCTTAGACCAATCAGTGAACAGGATATTCAGGATCACCTAATATGGGAAGACCGTATGACTCATTTTAAGGACAAAGGAATGTGACTACCGTTGATGCACATGCTCAGTACATTGATGATAGTATCTTAGCTACATGTAACTAACTAACAGATACAACAAACACCTGTACTTGTATATGCCACATGGAGATTTCAGGCCTACTAAATTTTGAACCATTTTGAAATCCCATCACACACCCACTACAGCCCCTGTACTTATTACATCCCCTTCACCCATTACAGCCCCTACCCCCTGCATCCACTACAGCCCCTACCCCACTATAGCCCCTACCACCAAGCACCATCTAGATCCCTATACCACCTGCACCCCCTACCACCCTGCACACACTACAACCAATACCCCCTTTTCCTCCTCTACAGCCCCTTTTATCCAATGCTCCCACTACAGCCCCCTATACCCACTACTGCCCCTACCTCCAGATACCCTCTTAATCCCTATACCACTTTCACCCACTTCAGCCCCTACCAACCTGCACATATTACAGCCAATACCTCTTTGCTCCCTGTATAGCCCCTATTTTCCCATTCCTATACTACATTCCCCTATACACTCTGCACTCACAACAGCCTCTACCCTCTGCAGCCCATACCCCTTAAAGTCATTATTAAACCCTTGCCCCCTCTACAGCCCCTCCCTAGCATCCACTACAGCACCTACCGCTTTGCACCCACTACAGCTCCTACCCCCAGGCACCCTCTAGATCCCCTATACAACCCAGTACACCCTTTACAGACCCTACCCCCACGCACCCTTTAGATCCCCTATTTTCCCATTCCTATACTACATTCCCCTATACCTTCTGCACCCACTACAGCCTCTACCCTCTGCAGCCCATACCCCTCTTACCCCGTAAAGTCATTATTAAACCCTTGCCCCCTCTACAGCCCCTCCCTAGCATCCACTACAGCACCTACCGCTCTGCACCCACTACAGCTCCTACCCCCAGGCACCCTCTAGATCCCCTATACCACCTTGCACCCACTACAGCCCATATTAACCCCTGCACCCACTACAGGTCCTTCCCCCAGGCACCCTCTAGATCCCATATACTCCCTGCACCCACAACAGCCCACACCCACTCTACAGTCCCTAATAACCCAAGCCCCTATACCCACTACAGCCTTAGTGGTGGTTATTATTATTGTATTAATTCACACTAACTCTCCTGCATTTAAGCACATTCACTCTCCGTACATATACACCCTGTTTACAGACTGTGCACACACACATGACCCAGCATTCATAAACATATATCCATATGTTCACGTACTCTGACCCTGCACATATACAAATTATTGATTCAATGCATCTCTATGAGGAGATGCTGATTTACTGCTCATGTGCAATTTCCTTCCAATGCTTTCCTATAGAAAAGTATTGGATTGTCTGAGATCTAATTTGATGATCTCAGCCAAGGAGAACACCCAGGCTGTACCTTTTTAACGGGGATAGAGGGGGGGCTGGGACCTAAACGTCTATTCTTAAACCTATAGTGTCAGGAATACACGTTTCTATTTTTTGACACTATAGTGTTCCTCGTAACGGTTAACACCTGATTTGTAATTTAAGACGCAAAATTTGGCAGCCTGCATACCCTTTTATACATATTGCCATGCTACTTAAACACACATAAAAAAATACTAACTAATACTTTTAACCAGGAACTAGACAGGATGGAAATTACCAATTGAGAAAGCCGAACGGAATCGGCGAAACGCGTTTTGGACTCACCTATATACTGTATGTATCATATTTATTTTAAAGTGAATGTAATAAATATTACCTTTTATTCAATACACGTATATTTGGTGCATCTTACATCCTGCTAAAGAGGGAAGGAGTCATCCCAAAAGGACTCATATGCCTATTTACTTAGAGCCAAGTCATAGGCTCTAATTCAGGTGAGAAGCAACCTTCACCATTATATGCATGTTTATATATTGCTGTTTTAAGGATCTCAACACCAGGGCGAGTTTTCCCTGTTCTCCCTCTCTTTGTTTTTGAGGAGTATATTCCATTTGGACTCAAGGGGTGTATGCAACCTTAAAGATACAAGACAAGAGAGATTTGAGCCAAATTCCTAATAGGCTCTGGACTACCTACACAATACTTTCTACACCCCTAAGAACTCTGGGGAGTAAGTTAATATTATAGCGCTACACATTTTCACTATTACACACTGGTTGTGCAAATAGTGTATTGTTTCACATAAAAAAATACTACCCTATTTAAAAATAATTTTTTTAAATTTAACTATACTCTGAAGACTTACACCAGGGCTCACAGTGAATATGCACACAGAAACATTCATTCACTTTACATGCACATACAATCAAATACACGGTACATCTACACCAACATATATATAGGTCTACAGGGGCCCAGGTCCTAATTTTGCCCAGGGGCCCAGACCACTGTCAGTCCGTCCCTGGATAGGGGCTATTGTAGTACAGGCTGTAGTGGGTGCAGGGGGCATACGGACGGTGGGGGGATAGCGGCTGCAGTGGGAGCAGTGAGGGATAGGTGCTGTAGTCAATGCAGGGAGGGATAGGGATGAGAGTGATGAGGGCTGTAGTGGGTGCAGGAAGGCATAGGGGTGGGGTGGGTACTGGGAGAGAGAGAGAAGCTGAGGAGTGTGCAAGAAGGCACAGAGGCTGTGGTGAGTACAGGGAGGAATAGGAATTAGAACAATAGGGCTTTAGTGGGTGAAGGGGGAATTGGGTCTGGGATGGTAAAGGGGGCATAGAGGCTCAGATGAATTAAGAGGGCAGAGGGGCTGTGGTGGGTGAAGGGGGCATAGGGGCTGTGGTGAGCGGGCTCTGATGGATAAAGGGGCATGGGATGGGTGTAGGGGGGCACTGGGAAGGGTGAAGGGGCACAGGGGCTGGGACAGGTAAAGGGGGCACAGGTACTGGGATGGGTGAAGGGGCACAGGTACTGGGATGGATAAGGGGGAATATTAGCTTAAAAAATAATATTTACTTACCTGCTGTCTGCCAGGGTTCAGCAGATTCTGCAAGAGAGGGCAGGAAGTGAGGTTACTTCCCCTCTTTCGACCCGCCTCTTCCCCTCACACAGAGCTCCGCACACATTACATGGGGGAGACCTGACAGGAGCAGCAGGATCACTACCCGGTCTCAGAAAGTGGGGGGGGAGGGGGAGGCAGAGGCAGAGGGGGGAAACAGAGAGAGAGATAGGTTGCAGGAGCAACCTATCCCTAGAATATGTGCAATTATGTTTGTTTCTGGCTGGGGAGATCTATGATCTGAGCCTGTTTGTGCAGCCTACCGGGCCCCGGGTACCTCGGGCACTCGGTCCATGACCGATCTGCCAGAGTGGTCAATCTGCCCCTGGTCTCTCCTTTAGTTGCTTCTTGGGGAGATACAAGATATAGGGAATAAAATAGGCAATGGCAACAAGCCCGCCGGTTTCACCAATCTCTTGTTTCTACCACCATAAAACACATAAGCTATAACACTTGAACTAGAGGTGGTAGAAGGAGCTGTAGTGCCAGTGGAAGTGGCAGCAGAAATTGTTGTGGAGCTGATTGTCTTCTTTGTAGGACTAGCTGCAATTACAGAGGCCACTAGAGGCTACTCTAGACATTGCGAACTGTGTAGGTGACATCACAGGGGAGTTGTAGCCCCAGTGCTTCATAAATAAAGTGATTTAATTTCTAAATGTAAAAAATTTGCATTTATTGGCGATCCTCTAACCATCAATTGTCTCTTTTTATTGGACATGATATACAGCCTACATAATTGGCCCAGCCATGAGTCCATCAAGGCAAACTAAAGCTTTTTCTGCATTCCATCCCCTTTTCTTGTGGTGCTAGGAACGGAACACCAACTACACAAATCAAAACGAACATACTCGTCTATTGTGCGTGTTGTTCCTTTCTTGATTATTAAATATGGCGGACTATCAAAAATTGGAAACTCAGCCTGAATTTTGACAAAGTCGAATACAATTTATTCTGCAGCCTTAGCCACATCCCTTCCCTAGTTGTGACTGACACAACCTCACACTTCCTGAAAAGACAGATCAATTTTAGACCTATCTTACATTCAGTTCAGCGCATCTTCAGCAAGTTAATGGACACATTGATTTTGCTGTGACACATTTTTCCGAAGGAAATAGGCTTTTTAAAATTAACATAAAGTACAGACAGGGATTTCTGTCCTCAATAAAATCTGTTTATTTATTTATAGCATCAAATGGATTGCAATGTGGATGCAGTTTTTTTTCCTGTTTACTTAATCATTCTGCTATTACTAAAAAAAAAAAGAAGAACATTTTAATTTGCATGCAATAACCAAAACATCAACGAGAATCATTTACAAAGATTTATTTTGATGCATTTCTTTTGTTACATTTCTTGCAAATTTTAGGCCAATATATACAAAATAGAGACATACTTGAAACTGGCTATTGTATTCTAAAAAAATACATCTTCTTTGGGCTTATATTGTAGTTTTGAATGCTGATCTATAGTCACTCTCAAAGCAATTAAAGGTTAATTTATAAAAAGAAAAAATATGCTTTAAATTTTTAAGTACATTTTATTTATTGAATACAAGTAGATACTGATATTATCAATAGATATAGATAACAGATATTTCCAATAAGCTACCATATTTCGGCCTCACAAGAAAATTCTGCACCTGGTGGAAGTGCTGGCTGAAGTACCTAAGTACCACCAGACCATCAGGGTTTGTCGATTCCCTACTTCTTGGCCAGAGGTAAGGAACAAGCCATTCTCCTTTTCTTCTCCATTGCTTCTGATGACCTCTTCCCCTAATCTCAACCTTCTCAACTCGTTCCTTTAAATTTTGCCTCAATCACTATTTACAATTCTTTAAAACACAAAAGGAAACCATATTATGCATTCTCACATAAAGATTTGGAGTAATATTGGGTACTGAGGTCAAGTGTCCATATTCTTCGTAGAAATTTACCCTGTCTTTAGTTGTAGAGAGTTTGGATTGTTTTGTCCTGATGTATGAATTGCATACAATATTTTGTCTTCATCTGTTACTCAACTAGCTTTTAAGATAATTATCTTTACTTATCTGTACTATTCAGAAAATCTTAGAGGAATGCTAGTCTAATGTGTTATATTTAAAATATGTTTTAACCTTTAAGGGTACACTATAGTCACCAGAACAACTACAGCTTAATGTAGTTGTTCTAGTGAGTATAATAGTTACCTTCAGGCATTTTCATGTAAATACTGCCTTTTCAGAGAAATGGCAGTGTTTACATTCCCTTTAGGGACACCTCCAAGTGGCCACTCATCAGATGACCACTGGAGGGGCTTCCTGGCTCAGGGCTGAACAGAAAGCAGCCCTGCCGTTCAGCGTCTACACGCTCTGCATGGACACGCTGAATTTTCCTCATAGAGATGCATTGATTTAATGCATCTCTATGAGTAGGTCCTGATTGGCCAAAATGACATTTGGCCCCGAGACCTATGTTAGCCAATCCAATGCTTTCCCTGTAGGGACCCGCACAGCGCTGAAAGTAAGGTGAGTTTTAAACTTTTATAGCGGGGTTAAGGGGGGGCAAGCCACCTAAATGGGGGTGTTAGCACTATAGGGTCAGGAATACAGGTTTGTGTTCCTGATCCTATAGTTATCCTTTAAATTAATATATATATATATATATATAACTGCAATCTCGATAATTGGTCTTATTTTTTTACATTGTTTCTTATACTTTTGATGTCTCCACGTGGCAGTTTGTTTTACCCCTGCTCGTTATTATTTTCCTTTAGTATAGTCCAATCAATAGTTTCTCACAGAGAAGCATTGCAACTCCTGCGGCACTCGCTGCGATGCTCCAATCAAATTTGACTGATATGGAATCATTGTATTCAATGATTCTCTTTGAAAAATTGCAAACATTTCACCGTGGATGTGAATGGTGTGTTCTCACGAGCGGTGAGCAGAATGTTAGCTCAGCTCACCTTTGTCATAAGTCCGTCCAGGCAAGGAAGATCTTGATGGTGGCGTACATGAGCACCAGGGGAACATAGTTAAGAGGCACTCTAACAACATATCAAGGACTAAGTTGCCGAAGTGCCTACAGTGGAAAAAACAAAACAAAAAACAACTCTCAACTTGAATTCCATTAAAGTATCGACAGCCACAAGATTTTTTTTAAATGTTTGAGCTTTATTAGATATTTAAATTACATTACAATAAAGACAAATACAAAACTATTTTTGAAAGATACATGGATAAACCAAATATGCTTGACAAATTTGAGTTGGGACATGATGTGTAAGCTGTTAATTTGTAGTTTGTTTTATAAATAGTTGCAATTTCTCTGTGGCACTTTGCCAAACAAGATCTATATACATTTCCTGCAAAATAATAATATAAAAAAAATAAAATAAAAAAATCAATAAGATGACTAACATAAATATACATAAACAGCAAATGTGTATATATAAATTACAATTTCTTTTTTTTTTTTTTTACAAAATCTCTCATTCATCTATTTATACTAAATTATATTAATTTCAATATGCATTTCCTAACATGCATTTATTCTTTTTGCCTAATTGGCCAGTGTTTTGTAATTATTTTCTGTATCTCATTTAAACCTGTGAAACTGAATTTCACAACAGGTAGCTTGAAATCTATTATTTATGTATTAATACCATTGAAACACTATAGCAAAAATCATTCCGCACACAATTTCTATACGTTTCATGAACTAATTGATTGGTGTTACAAAATGAGATAACTGATGCACTTGCATTAAAAGTACACTTGGCTTGGATAATATTCCTATGATATTTGAAACTTTTTTGTACATATTTTGCTATTCTTGATGTTAAATCTATTTGCTCAGTGAGATTGATGTCAATTGTAAATTGCTTTTAAAATGTAGAGTATTCATTAGCATTGTGAAAATGAAAAGCTTCTAAATTATATTTTGGCCATGTAAAAGCTGATTTTTCATATATATGTTATAATCGTAGTATTCTCCCATGGTGTCCTTATCTGTGCTTAAGTGCAAGCCATGAGTATAATGAGAAACCGAGAAAATGAATGCATATTTCACAATAACATAAAATCCATACCCCAGGATATCCTTGAAAATTGCAGATAACTAAATGTAAAATACTTGAATTATTAGTGTTGTTTGACAAAAGATTCCATGTATCTTTTCTCTTTTATTTATTTGAGGTCTGATGTCAATTATATCATAGCAGCCACCAGAATATATTATCAGATTAAAAGAAAAGTCAATTTTTTTATGAACTTCTTTCAGAAAGAATGTATTTAAATATCACCATAGTGATTCTATCAGTTTAAATGGCATTTTGTAGAGCTGCTAATACTATGTTATTACTATATGATTTGTTGATTTCATCAAAAATAAAACAATACTTTCAGGGGAGTGGATCAGTATCTGAAACACATTTTTTTTTATTTCCCCTTCTGATGGCAACGTGCATACCATGAGCTGGTCTACACTACCTCTTTCATATTCAGGTTGAAGCCATAGGCGTTGCTATGGGGGGAGGAGGAGGGGCGAGGGGCTAAAGCCCCAGAGGTGCTGCTCTTTGGCCCCTGATTTTTAAAGTTAGTCGAGGGGGCAGGAGGTTGTTTTTTATGGAGATTAGGGTTTTTTATTTTTTTTTATTTTTACTTTATCAGGCAGCTGCTTTCAGAAAAATAAACATCAAAATTATAGTTGCTATGGGGTGGGAGGAGGGAAAGGGTCCCAAGGGTGCAGCTCTTTAGACCCTGATTTTTACAGTTAGTGCAGGGGGGAAGGAAGATATTTTTAGGGTTGCTCTTTTTTGTTTTGTTTTTTTTAGAATTTTTAGTTTAGCAACAAGCAGCTGCATTTTAGCTTTTTAGAAGTAGCTTTCTTTATAAAAGAAATCATCAAAAGCATGTCAGAGGCGGCTCTAGACTTTATGAGGCCTTAGGCAAAACTCAAACATGAGGCCCCACTAACACGAAAGTTAAAGAAATAGAGTTGCAATACATGCACACTGTCACATATACACATTGATGCACTGTTTACCTGTGTGTGTGCCTGAGAGTGTGTCTGGCAGAGAGTATCCTTGTGTGTTTGAATATATGTCTCTGTGAGCATATTTGCGTTTTTATCTAGGACAGTATGTGTATGGGGTAGCTGCTTGAAGTGTGTTATGTGTATGGGGGGTCTGCCTGTGGCCTTTGTGCATTGTGTTTATGGAACAGCTATGTTTCCCGACTGAGTGTATGATGAATGTCTTCAGATGGCGACATACATATTTGTATTCAGAAATGTCTCACAAGTAAAACAGTAACCCTCATGTATAGTGATGTCGCAAACCCGAAATTTTCGGTTCGCGAACGGCGAACGCGAACTTCCGCAAATGTTCGCGAACCGGCGAACCGCCAGAAACGCCATTGACTTCAATGGGCAGGCGAATTTTAAAACACACAGGGACTCTTTCTGGCCACAATAGTGATGGAAAAGTTGTTTCAAGGGGACTAACACCTGGACTGTGGCATGCCGGGGGGGATCCATGGCAAAACTCCCATGGAAAATTACACAGTTGATGCAGAGTCTGGTTTTAATCCATAAGGGCAGAAATCACCTAACATTCCTAAATCACAATGAATATGGATTGACACCTGACATATGACATATTGACACCTTGACATATGGATTGACACCTGTCCTCAGAGCCCCTGATGCACACGGACACAGAGCAGGGCAGAGACTGGATGCACCTACATAGGGTCACTTGGCAGATATGGATTGACACTGTCTCAGAGACCATGATACACACTGACACAGAGCAGAATAAGGGTTCCCCTACATTGGGTCACTTGGCAGATATGTGGATTGATCTGTCCTAAGGTTCCCTGATACACACTGACACCAGAGCAGAATAGGGACTGGTCCCCTACATGGGGTCACTTGGCAGATATGGATTGACACCTGTATAAGGACCATGATACACACTGACACAGAGCAGAATGAGAGACTGGTACCCCTACATGGGGTCACTTGGCGAATATGGATTGACACCTGTCCTCAAGACCATGATACACACTGACACAGAGCAGAATAGGGACTGTTACTAAGGGTCACTTGGCGGAGTATGGATTGACACCTTGTTACAAACTGCTATTTGTACTTGGGCCCTTTAAATGGCAAGTGCCTGCTTCCCTGGGTTGTGGAGAAGCCTGCTTGCCAGCCTCCTCCCGCATGACTATGGCCCCTGGGAGATTGTGAAAATGTATGCACTTTTATTTGGTGTGTATGGCCCTTTAAGACTGTCGGTGGGCATATTGGGGCTTATGGACTCTTTATGTGACTGGTGCTGGCCCTTCAAACACCTTTTTTGGGACATCAGGAAGATTGGGACACTGCCCCTTTAAGGCCGTGTCCCCAGACTTGTTGGGGACACGGCCCCTTTAAGACGGTGTCCCCTGTGTCCCCAGACCTGGTGCAAACCCTTTGTGCCT